TACCAGACCTAAGACTCCAAGAGCAATTATGAGTATGTCTACACGAGGGATTCCCAACTTTTTTCCCCATGGAGGAACCCCAAAAATAAATTTTCATATCCCAAGGAACCCTTACCTATGAAAACGTTTGCTTGGCCAGAAAAAGTTGACAGCGGGGAGCACAATTCAACTACTGCTAAATTATTGTCACGAAAATTTATTTGGGATATATCAGCTTACATTGTAAGAAAAACATTTTTTATTCAATTTATTCCACGATTTCTCATGGAACCCCTGACGATGGTTTGCGGAACCCCAGGGTTCCATGGAACCCTGGTTGGGAAACACTGGTCTACACTAATGGTGGGGAACCTTTTCTGGGTCAGGGAGCGCTACCCACAGGAAAAAATCATTTATGGGCTGCATACAAATGAGAAACAAACAAACAAAAAAAACCCCTTCACTGAGGTGGCCCCCGACTGAGAAGGAAAAAGACATTCTCCATATTCAACTTGTACACCAGAGCATTGGGGGCCCCGGCCCCCAAGATTTTATGTGCTCCAGCTCTGTGGGCAGATAGGGGAAGGGGGAGAGGAAGGCTGGAGCACAAGCATAGGCATCCCAATGCTGGGGAGAGCCTTGAGCTCTGAATTCAGGCAAGTGGGGGGGGGGCCACATCTGGCCCCTGGGCCTTAGGTTCTTAGTGTGATTGAGTAAAAACAGATCTAGTGTGTTTACTTATATAAACCCACTAGCCTTAGCTCATGAAAGCAAGGTATGATGTAAAAAAGAAAAAGCTAGTACAATTGTCATCACTCATACAAGTCTGTTCTTCTCCAGCTTGTATAATGTCTTCTCAAAATTTAAAATTCCTGCTTCCGTGGATTGCAGACTTTATAAAGCACTCTCAGGCTACGTTTATACTGCAGCACTATTTCGGGATACCTCTGATATCAAAAGCTCTTGATACCACATACATTTTTTGTTAGTCTCTAAGGTGTTGACTAGAGATGTTAAATATCAGTTAACTGAATAGTCGATTAACCTCATGAATTCTTATCGGTTAGTCGACTACTCTATAGTCCCTGGGCAGCCCCTGTCCCAGGGGAAGTGGTCTGAGCTCCCAGACCCAGCATGAGCCAGGACTGAGCTAGGCTGCCTGCCCTCCCAGTGCCTAATACACTTAAATGCAGAGTCACAGCACAGGTAGTCCTGGGCCTGTTGCAAGCCAGGACTGAGCCAGGCTGCTGACCAGCCTGCTAAAAAATTTACTGGCAAGGGGTGGGAGGAAAATGTGTATAGTCTATAGCATTAACTTATAAGCTTTTGCTTATTGGTTAAATCGAATATACTATTACATCCCTAGTGCTGACATGTTCATAGTTGGTTACAATTCTTCATTCATTTTTACTAGACCCTCTATGCCAGTGTTTCTCAAACTGTGCTCCGAGGAGCCCCAGGGCTCCGCAAGACATCTCCAAGGGCTCTGTGAGATTGACAAACTGGAAAGCCTTCAAAATCATAATTGAGAATCGCCTTGAACTGACTCAATTAACACACAATATTATTTTATTTATATTAAGGATGGATCAGTGGCTTAAAAAAGGGACATTAGAAGAAATGGTTTCTCAACCAAGTAAATGATTTGGTTATTATTTATGAATAAAACACACACAAGTTTTTATATATA